GAGGCCAAGGCGCTCTCGACTTATTTGCATTTTTTCAGCAAGTTTCATTAACCCTTAACCTCGGTCGCGGTGTACGAGCGCGGCATAAGGAAGCGGCGAGCACGTAAAATAAACCCGGCTGAATATTCATACCGGCCGGCATTAAATATCCCGACGACGATAAATTCCGGCTTTCTTCGCGAATTCCTCGATCCGCTCTTTTCTTCTTCTTTTTTCATTATTCTTCTCTTTCTTTCCCGTCTCTTTCTGTTTTGTCCATCTTTCGCGCGCTCAATTTTTACTCCGAGACATTGAATAGAAGGTCTTTGCGCGTGACAAGCACGAGCGTCATAAAGTTACGCGGAAGCAGATAATGAATTGAGAGACACGTGGTCTCATCGTTATGGACAGTATACTTTACACGTACTACTCCATCGTACAAAGAATTTTCTTCGTTGACGAGTTCTCGATAATACGATGATTGCGCGAGTCTTTAGAGATACGCCGTTTCTTAGATCCTGGATTTTGGAGAAGAGGCACTGATAAACTACTTTGGTTTGCAAATGGATGCACGTTCTAAGTTGCAGATAGCCATGGATTCTATGTTAGCTGTTTTAAGTGTCATACGTTAAATTTTTAATTTATCCATATGATTAAAAATTAAGTTGCGCTGAATCATTTCATTGTTAAAAAGTGTAATTTTTATTACAGTTGTGGACGTTTGTAACAGAAAATGAAGCTAGTATCTGTTTAATTGAATGGCGTATCCTATATTCCTTTTAATGGTTTCTTGTCACTTATTGAATGTTGATGTTTCGTCTTTATGCCAATGAATTCTTTGAAATAAATAAGAAATTACACCACTATTTTTATAATACACCAAGAAAGACATGTCAAGGAAAGAAAGGAATACTAATGTAGTTTTGATAAAAAAGACTGCTTGTAATTTACCATAGAAATTATCGTGAAATTACACAGTTATCAGAATCAATCGTAGCAGATATTATTATGATTACATATACGATAAGATACATAAAAAGAGGTCGCGGCAAACTTAAAAAACAAAAGAAACAACCTCTTTTTTGTTAAAAATTTACTGCGCAATCAAATGTTATTAATAGAAAGAAATTGCTTAAGTTTTTTCAAGCTACTATAAATGATTTATATTTTCATCTAATAAGCAGCACGATATTTATATTATCGCTTCTTACACAAAGCGACAAACAATACTGTATTCGAATGTAAATATGAGTAACTGATATTTGACCCTATTCACTCTGAAACTCTAGAAAACCTCTGCCTTGATCGAAACTTTCTATTCATTAGAAGTCACACACCCCCACGGGTCCGGCAGCAGGTCTGATACAGGTGCACCACAACGCCTAATGGACGAAACGAGTTCCAGAGATACTGCCGCATCATTATAAAACGTTTATTTCGGCATAAAAGTTAAAGTACAACGTGTTGGAGCCGATGACTCGCGAGTAAAATACTCACTCTTTGTAACTGACCCTTATCTCCCCTTGATCGACCCTCGTTTGACCTATTCGGTGCCTCTTTCTCTTGCTCCCCCGATTTCTCTTTTACTACGTTCTTCCTATTTCAATGTGCGAGTGATTGTACGTGTGTTTTAGTATGGACAATTTTTAACCGAATAGATTTTCATTCTAATAAACTAGGCGTCTCTCTCTCTCTCTCTCTTTCTCTCTCTCTCTCTCTCTGTTTCTCTTTCCCGAGGGTACTCTATTTCAGATAGTCAAGCTAATCTAAAAAGGGGACGATAATTATTCCAAACTCAGCGTCATCCGGCCTCTGACTATGCTCTCCCTCTCTTTCCCCTCTTTTTTCTCTTTCTCTCTCCTTGGATCATTGCGGTAACGCAGTTCAGAGTTTACTGAATTTTCATCGCTATATGGCTCGCCATGGTGGATATGGTTCCGAAGCACAGTGACAAACGATAGGGGAAAATGTGAAGACGAATGGACGGCGACCGAGGAGAATTTGTTGGAGGTTTTGGTGAATTATTTGTACAAGCCTTTGACGTTTGAGTTGTGGATATGTAGGAGGTTGCAACGATGAAAATTATTGTGAATGATTTCAACTATCGACATGAGAGGATATTAACTAGTAATCCGATATCAAAATATTTAATACGATAGCATAAACTAATTTCGAAATTCATACTAAGTTTAAGTCCAAAACCCTATCTTTCTTCTTTGATTTAATAATCTATATAGTCGGTATACTCTAATATTTTTTAATAGCGTACGAATTCTATCAACTTTTCCTAATTATCGATCAGTTTCTTGAAAAAGCGAAATGCTTCTTATAAATCTGTTTCATTCCCCTTAACATAACTAATTCAAAATCATTTCCATTTCATAAATAATCTAAGTCTTCTGCACTCCACTACACTACTTGCTAAACCCTGAAAAGTAAAATCTAAATAATCGTCTATAGCCAAAAATATCCTGCCATCAATCTCCACGAACTGGTTACATTCCATCTTCCCCCCCTGGCCCATCCGCCATTCCATCCTGAAACTACAGGAAAGGAGTTGCAACTCGAAAGCAAAACCAAAGATCCGCACGTACGTGGCAAGTTT